GTAGTCGCATGCAGAGCTTTATCTGCAGTTGAGCATACAAAAGCGAAAACACAGAACTGTTCAGTTAGCTTGTCTTCTGTAGGAAATTAACAATACATTTCTGCTAGTTTGCGGGCTCTTTAGTTCACTTCGTGTAAACTACTTTTCAGTGACTCTGATATTTTTGCGGTCCATATTCTACATGATCGACTTCTGACTCTGTCATCCCTGTATCTGTTTAACATTGCTCTCTGTGATGCCCTGTCTGATGCCAGTCTTGTTACTTGACCAAACCTCTCTATTTGTCGTCTACCTGTAAAGTTTAGTATTGCGCCATCAGATAAATATACGTCATTTTTAACAGTATATTCCGTATGAGAGAGAGAGAGAGAGAGAGAGAGGGGGGGGGGGGAGAGCGTGGAATATATCCAGCACGCCTAAGAGTGTGGAAAGGGTCTTTTTTTTTTTTAATTAATATTAACACAGTGGTGTAGACGGGGTGGGTGTAAGAATTTAGTACCCCATGGCTATGGCAATCGTCATGAAATTTGCAGCACCGGATTTCTGATTTTAGGCTGAAAAAAAAAAAAAAAAAAAACATGTATAGCGCCTTATTGAGGTTTCGATCCTGTGTAACCTATATTAAAGCCAAGCGATCTGAGCGATGCAATAATAACCTTGTAATTAACTTAACTGCATGTTTTACTGAGGGGAGCTATGTAGTGTTTGCTTCATGTTAATAAATGTGAGACATTAAAGACTTTGATTCAGGCTTTAATTAATGCTTACAGTGTGCTTTCAACATAATGTTATTATACACATTTAAACATTGTGACCGTCAATAATCAGTGTGTGTGTGTGTGTGTGTATGTGTGTGTGTGTGTGTTGTTTGTAATATAACAGCGTGTCTTTAACATAATCGAACAAAATACTTAAGATAATTTTGAGGCCTTGAACTGCCAGAAAATATAAGTCACATTCAGAAAATTTGCACAATTATGAGTGACAATCTCAGAAGTAATAATGAGAAATACAGACTTTAGACCAGGGGCTTCAAAACTGTGTATGTTGATGACCAGGGGCTTCAAAACTGTTTATGTTGATGACGAGCCGTTTTTAGACTAACATAATTATCCAAAAACATAATTCAGTCTAGCAGCAATTAGGAGGCAACACTAACCCTCCTATATATATATATATATATATATATATATATATATATATATATATATATATATATATATATATATATATGTTATTTATGTGTCCGTATCACTACGGGCACATAAATAACAACACGCGGCACATCTTTACATTGCAGCTGGCACATTAATGCGTCCTGACACAGTTTGAAAGCTCTGTTTTAGTCCATATAAAATGGCAAACTATAGGTACACTTAACTGTTCAAATTATTATTAACTACCGTCATCATGAAGGCTAATCAACTGCAATGGATGTTTCTGATATACTAAGAGAATAACAAACCAGTCGACACTCGATGAGTTTTGTCATTGTCACACTGGCAGCTATAACTCACCAGGATGTTTTCTAGAATCCCTTTTAGGCTCGGGTCCTCTTATAAAAATTATAATTTATACAAATTCAGCACGGATGCGGATTCGAACCCAAGACGTTCGGGACGGCATGCGATTTATCTTGCCATCTCACTACCTGGGCTTAGTTAATATAATAAGAACAAAAGATCAAACAACGGTTTGCCTTTTGAGAATTGGGAGTCGCCGTTACGATGGCGCCTACACGCCAGCCTGCGAATCGGAAGGTCGTGGGTTCGCGTCCTGACGGAACCGAAGTTTTTTTTTTCTCACAAAATGACCGTGACTCCCAGTTCGACCCAGCCTTGATTGGGTACCAGGTGCAGTCTTAGGAACTAAAGGCGGCCGGCATTATTCTGATCACATCACCCACAAAGTGCCCATTGGTCTATAAACATATAGGTCTAGCCCTCCATTCCGAATACGCCTAAAGGTTTGGAAAAGGGACCTTTACTTTACTGTGGTGAAGTCTGGTAGTCTGGTAGTATTAGTTTCAACTTCATAGCAAACGGGTCACCCCATCTTTGCTCCGCTCCTGTGCCAACGAAAAACACACAGAATGTTTATCACAGTATTAGAATTGCAGTTCATCATTGATGGTAGCAGAGGTCGCCAACAGACCAGTAGTTGCCCACGCGATCAATTGTAATCACATACGGGCACCACAACACTGCACGACAGGCATCGCGCCATTTTCTGAATCTACAATTCACACCAACACGTTGGTCACAGTCGAAAAAACATTTCAAATGCAATCCGCAGCTACTGTGGTGAAGTGATCAAGCTGTTTGACCCGCAGAGATCGTAGGCTCAAATGACGCCTGCGTCGTTCGGTTAACGAATGCAATTTTAATAGAGGCCCATGAGGATCTAACCGAAGCTACGGTGTTTGTGCTTAATAAGACGTTCTTAGTCTTCGGCTAGCCGTTCTTTGAAGAGCGACTAAGCCATTTGGGATTAAACCTGGTGTAAAGAAGTCGATTTTCTTGACCTTTACCTTAACTATAATATTTTTAAGTAAGAACTATATTCACAATATTATTACCACTGATGAAAAGTAAAGGAATAGGGCAGACATTCAAGAACAGACTATAATTACTATCAGTAGAAATAATTAGCGACCTGATAAGACAAAAGGAGCCTGTTCGAATTTGAGACAAATACATTTCATTCTATTTATTGACTGTGTGAATTGGAATTATCTTGTTATTTCTCATGTTTCATATAATTCACATAATTTGAATCGTCTGACAGTAAGTCATGGCTACAAATACATAAACATACATATACATTGTATATATCAATATATATATATATGGATATATAAATTTAACCAAGTCCACACTATATATATATATGTGCTAAAGAAATATGGCTAGATATTTTAATTGGTAAAACACAGTCTATTTATATCTTTAAAAGTAATTTATTCATGCTTATTTTCTTTGTGCTAATTTTCTTTTTGTGTGACTACTTAGATTTTTCTGTGATTGGGAACGTTTGCTTTTATCAGTGTTACATAGTTTCACTTCAGATCCCTACATACGTTGATAAACCCTATGAACATCATAAGTCAGTCATTTAGAATACGCTAAATTTATATAGTTTCTATAAATTAGTTACGTAAGTCGCTAATAAAGAAGTCGGAATTACTTCAAAATATGACAACTGCAAAATGGAAAGTCAGAAGAGGTAGAAGGACAATCAAGAGATGGTAATGTTGACAGATGGTATCTTGGCATGGAAGATCCCCTACATCTTAAAGTATTGACAGTGAAGGAAACAGAAGGTTGTAGCCTGACTTGACCCTACCCACCCCTTTCCTTTAAGGTTACAGTCATGATACTTTTACCGAAAATGTGTTTCTTCACAGGACTGCAGTTTATACCAAACTGGTGTGGCATTATTCTTTTTTTCCTCAGGGTTTTAGCACCCCCCAACAGGACTAAGTCTTAGTCGAAGTTTCAATTTCATCGCAGTCGGGTTTCCACAGACATGCTCCGTTCCTCTGCCCATGAAAATCAAATGAAATACCCCTCACTATCCCATTTGAAAAACTAGTGAATAAATGAACAGTAAAGTGGAAGGACGAAAGGATGACCTACCAGCTAAAATTATTCTTCCCAAAGTGCATGCTGTGTGGTGTTAGCCCATTTATGATGCAAATGTTCTCCTAGGCTATGATGCTGCAGTGTGGTAAATCTCTCTTGATTTCCCTTTACTGCCATCCTCTTTGAACTTGTATGTCGTCACGGCGGTCTCTATTTGTTGACTTCTCATTTCGTGCAACACGAATGTGTCAATGAGGTAATACAGTATATTATTATAAGACTGGTATTCACAGTGAGTTGCGAATTACACATAACGCCTTTCACAAGTCTTAAACAGTTAGTTAGCCAAGGAATTCAATATAAATACTCCACGGACAATTGTGTTTTCCATAACTGTAGCTTACTGTTGTAATTGTATGTGTAAGAATAATTTGTGCTGCACGTTTCGCTTCATCTATTTTAGTGTTTACATTATACAATTATCTAACAAATGTTGCTAATAATCCACACATATTTTTCAGACAATGTGAACAGGATACACTTTTTTTATTTTCACTACCAGATGTATTGATTATGCATAGACTCGAAGAGTAAGGTGAAATACACTCATATACAACCGAACATCTCGACCAAAGTCTGTTTCTATCAAAATAAAAATACTTACAGGAATCAGTTCCAAAATTATATAAATCAGTTAACAGACACTGGCTTTTTCAGAATTGTGTGAACGTTCACAAAAGATACCTGTCCCATTCTGTAGGTATCTTTAACTGATTCTTGAGTCTGGCTCGTGCATCTTTCTAACGCTTATAGTACTGGGACTAACATTTAATAATAACCCCAAAAAGAAAGTAAGAATGAAATACTAAATAAAATTATGATAAGTAGAAAATTAAATACGTATGTGAACCCAGTTCGTAGTAATTTAAGAATAAAATTATGTGTATATTAAATACATATATGAACCCAATTCGTAATAATTTAAGAATAAAATTATGTGTATATTAAATACATATGTGAACCAAATTCGTATAGTAAAAATTTGAGAATAAAATTATGTGTATATTAAATACATATGTGAACCCAATTCGTATAGTAAAAATTTGAGAATAAAATTATGTGTATATTAAATACATATGTGAACCCAATTCGTATAGTAAAAATTTGAGAATAAAGTTATGTGTATATTAAATACATATGTGAACCCAATTCGTATAGTAAAAATTTGAGAATAAAATTATGTGTATATTAAATACATATGTGAACCCAATTCGTATAGCAAAAATTTCAGAATAAAATTATGTGTATATTAAATACATATGTGAACCCAATTCGTGTAGTAAAAATTTGAGAGTAAAATTGTGTGTAGGTCGGTGTCTGTTTTTCATACAAATAATACCATTGGTTTCTTCACAGACCCAGTCTATCATCCACGAATTAGTCACTGAAATGCACGGGAACCAGAGGGAACTGGAGAAAAGAGTCAACAAAATTGAGGAGAAACTAGCTCAGCTGCAGGTTTGTAGCGTTTATTGATGTGTGTCTGTGTGTCTATGTGTTTATGTTTCTGCGTGCATGTCTCTGTGTGTATGTCTCTTTGTGTATGTCTCTGTGTGTGCGTTGTATCTATGTCTGTCTGTGTGTTTAAGTCTTTGCGTGTGTGTGTGTGTCTGTGTCTGCGGTGTGTCTGTGTATGTGTCTGTGTCTATGTCTGTTGCTGTCCGCATGTGTGCATGTGTGTGTGTGTGTGCATGTGTGCGTTCATATGTGTCTGTGTCTTGTTTTGGAATATATTTATGTCTGTGAGTGTCTCTGTGTGTTTATCTGCGTGTGTGTATATGTGTGTCTGTGTGTGTCTGCGTGTGTGGTTATGTGTGTTTTTTCTGTGTGTGTATATGTGTTTGCCTGTGTGCGTGTCTGTCTGCGTGTGTATGTTTATGTTTGTGTGTGTCTATGTGTGAATGTGAATATGGGTGTGTGTGTTTCTGTGTATGTTTGTCTACGAGAGTGTCTGTGTGTGTTTCTCTGCCGGTGTATCTGGGTGTGTGTGTGTGTCCATGTGAGTACCTTCCTGCGTTTCTCTGTGTGTGCCTGCATGTGTGGATGTCTGTGTGTATGTATGTGTATATGTGTCTGGGTTTGTGTCTGTCTGTCTGTCTGTGTGTGTGCGCGAGCGCGTGCGTGCGTGCGTGTGTGTGTGCGTGTGTGTGTGCGCGTGTGTGTGTGCGTGTGTGTGTCTGTGAGAGTATGAGTCTGCTTGTGTCTGTGTGTATGTCTGTGAGTGTGTGTTTATGAGTATGTGTGTTTCTGAGTATGTATGTTTCTGAGTGTGTGTGTCTGTATACCTGTGTATGCATGTTACTATATGAACATGCACATGCTTTATTGATAACATACAACTGCTATGTGAAAGACCGGTGTATAGAAGTGTCGAATTTAAGACGGCCTGCGTGCCCAATTTATGAGCGTTTGAAAATAAAGTTCAAAATCGGTTCGTCGGTTCGTAATAATCGGTTCGTAACTTCGTTCTGTTCGTCTGTATATGTTTACAATATGCACGAGAGAGAGAGAGAGAGAGAGAGAGAGAGAGAGAGAGAGCAAGAGAGAAAGTGAGAGAGAGAGAGAGAGCGAGAGCAAGCGAGCGAGAGAGAGAGAGAGAGAGAGAGAGAGAGAGAGAGAGAGAGAGAGAGAGAGAAGGCGTATTTTGATCTAATCATATTAGTTTCAAAATATTACCCAGCTGACATGAACACGTCTCATTCACCCCCCCCCCCTCACTTTGCAACCACTCCCTAAACCCATCCCCCCCCCCCCCCTTCCTTGTAAAATTACCGAGCACACATGTGCAAGCATTGCAACAAATTATTGTACCTCTGCCCACAAGCTGAAACACCTGCGCTGAATTTTTTCAATGCTCAGAAAAGCTCAGGCTATTTCTGGTCAATCAATATATGAAAACATTGTCAGTAAACTTTTAGGATAGGGAAAGTGATTGCTGAGTAAACCAGTAGATGGTATGGTTTCTATCAGACAGTTGGATAGGCACTCAAATATCCAGGGCGGTATGCAGTCGAGAATACTGCGATTAAATGCAAACGCGTTCTTGCACTGTAGCCAAGGAGTATATTACTGGCACCTAGATATATTGACATGTCCTAAATTTCTCTTTTAATGTGATATGTCTTTAAAGTGTCTTCGCATTTTTTAATTGTTTTTCTATTCTGTGTATATATTTCCATAAATGATACGTCGAAAATGGAAATGGCAAGCCGACGGAAAATCATTATTGACAGAGAACATCTGAAGACTGATGGGTAGAAACAAAAAAATAAACTTGAGGGTCAAACAAACATTAGTGTCACCACATAAATTAGGACACGTTTTATTGATAACATTCTTGGGCTGGTCTTACCTGCTGGGGGTTACAGGTGTGCCGCTCTGTTGTTTGCTATCTGTTTTGTTCTGAGAAAGAGAATGCCTGTGACATTGGTTTTAGTATTATCTAAAGGGGGTGTGTCTAACACCCAAAATGTCGATATTTTTAGAGTGTTAAAAGCGCTGACGTGCTGAAATATACAACACGTGATGTCGTCGGCTTTGAGGAACGGCCATGATAAATTATACCAAATCACGTGGCTCAATGTCGACCAATCAGAAGTTAGCTAGGTTAAATGTCAACCAGTCAGAAGTGAGCTAGTGTGTATCTGGGCGGTCCGTGGGAAGACCAATGTTACTATTAACAATATGAGTATGCATAATTCTACACACAATTAAAAAAAAAAACATAATCAAAGAACCAAAATAAGCATAGCTTGCGAATTTTTTCAGAAAGTATTTTACCATCTCCCCCCCCCCTTTTCTCTCTCCCCCCCCCCCCCTCCTGCTTTCCGTTCCCAACAAAACAGCTCTCAACAAACTAAATGATTGCAAACAAGAAATTAATACTCTCACTAACAAAAGATCACCTTGTTCACAATTACGGCTGCGTCAGCCTGGGAGCCAAGGTGAAAAAAAAAAAAGACTTCGACAGGTCCTGGGGCACTGACCTTCAGATCTGTAGGCGAGACTCAAAGCGCTACACCACAGTGTTTTTACACTGATACAGTAAACAACATTAAAGCGTGTGAATCGCAGTATGCGCGCGTGCGTGTTATATCTATAAGTGTGTGTATGTTTGCGTGTGCATGCGAGCGCGCGTGTGTGTGTATGAACGTTTGTGTGTGCATGTTTCGTGTATATTGTGTGTGTGTATATGTTGTGTGTGTGCGTGTTTGGGGAGATGTTTGCTTTGTTTGCGGTATCTAGGTACACCAAACTACAGATAATTATATTAGAACACATAATTAATATATGCACGACCAGAAGCGTCGCGACCATTTGTTGGCGATGAAGACAAGATATAGGTTTGTGTAAATATCAACGGTTTGAGATATCGACTTGTTTGGTTTACTGTCCTTGGGCTGACTAATTAAGAACAGACACACTTGAGTAAGACATAAAAAAAAACAGGACAAGCATATAGACATGATGTTTATACACAGTCTATGCTGGTCAGCAGTGATGAGAGGGAGAGAGAGAGAGAGAGAGTGGGGGGGGGGGGGGGTTAAAGTTGCTTGACTGGATTCCGTGTATGTTATTAAAATGAATGCAAAGGATAGAATAAAATAAAGAATTAGACTGCGAGCCCTATGTGAGATATAATGGAACAACAGGAAAATGAATAAATAAATTATTGATCGATTGAACGCTATGAGAGTGCATCTACGCAGGGGTACCGAAATCTTGGAGCCTAGGCACTTTGAGGTAGACGAGGCAGAAGGCTGGGGATAGACATGACTACCGACCCCCCTCGGCATGGGCTTTGAGAAAAAGGTGCAATGAGCATGCGGTGCTAGCCTTATATTCTTATAGACAAATCGAGAAAGGATATGTGATGTGTTCACTACAGCGCTAACCGACTTTACTTCAAGTAACAGTTTTTTGTTCGTACCCATATTTGTGTTTATCTAGGGCTAACCTTAGAGCCGAGCTCAGTTTTTTTTTTAAAGGGGTCTGTGTGGGGCTATGCAAATGTTATATATGCCCTAGTACCAACTGCCACAGGGAGCCACGCTGAAGAAATTTGATGAACGCAGAGCACGGGGAAGACCACGCAAAAGTATGAAGCGACAACATCAGGAGCGACCTAACATAAATGAACTCCACAAGCTTGTATAATGCATTAAAGAAAGCGCACAAACGGTGGAAGAAGAAGAAGAAGAAGAAGAAGAAGAAGAAGAAGAAGAAGAAGAAGAAGAAGAAGAAGAAGAAGAAGAAGAAGAAGAAGAAGAAGAAGAAGAAGAAGAAGAAGAAGAAGAAGAAGAAGAAGAAGAAGAAAAAGAAGAAGAAGAAGCAGAAGAAGAAGAAGAAGAAGAAGAAGAAGAAGAAGAAGAAGAAGAAGAAGAAGAAGAAGAAGAAGAAGAAGAAGAAGAAGAAGAAGAAGAAGAAGAAGAAGAAGAAGAAGAAGAAGAAGAAGAAGAAAAAAAGAAGAAGAAGAAGAAGAAGAAGAAAAAGAAGAAAAAGAAGAAGAAGAAGAAGAAGAAGAAGAAGAAGAAGAAGAAGAAGAAAAAAAAAAGAAGAAGAAGAAGAAAAAAAAAGAAGAAGAAGTTATAGGTATAGGTGACTTAATTAGGGACTGTTAGATGAATGTTTTGAAAAACATAAAATATTAACATCTATACCAGGAATGGGCCAACAATGGCATCTATCTATCTATCTATCTATCTATCTATCTATCTATCTATCTATCTATCTATCTATCTATCTATCTATCTATCTATCTATCTATCTATCTATCTATCTATCTATCTATCTATCTATCTATCTATCTATCTATCTATCTATCTATCTATCTAATCTATCTATCTATCTATCTATCTATCTATCTATCTATCTATCTATCTATCTATCTATCTATCTATCTATCTATCTATCTATCTATCTATCTATCTATCTATCTATCTATCTATCTATCTATCTATCTATCTATCTATCTATCTATCTATCTATCTATCTATCTATCTATCTATCTATCTATCTATCTATCTATCTATCTATCTATCTATATATCTAGCTAGGACAGGACAGGACAGACAGACAGACAGACAGACAGACAGGCTAGCTAGCTAGCTGTCTGTCTGTCTGCCTGTTTGTCTGTCTGTCCTGTCCTGTCCTGTCCTGACCTATCCTGTCCTGTCCTGACCTGTCCTGTCCTGTCCTGTCCTTTCTGTCCTGTCATGTCCTGTCTGTCCTGTCTGTCCTGTCTGTCTGTATCGTCTTTGGAAAGTGAGGGGGAAAAAAACAATACTAGATTACCAAAATGAATGTCAAAGATATCTAACGTACTGATGTTGTTTTCCTGGATGTAGGTAAACCTGGACACGTTGCCAGAGATGATCGCCAGATCTATAACTCAAGCCACTGTGCCCCAGCACCGACAAGAGTTGTCCGACATGCGCATGCCAGTATCCAGACCTTTGTCAGACTTCGCCGGGCTCAGGAGAACTACTAACCCTCGTCAAAGAAGACCATTTCAGCAGCAGTTCTCCTTGCGGGAAATGCCTATTTATGACCGGTCATCAAACTCAGGCAGAGAAGACGAGAACGCTGATCCGGGCATTCGGACGCCAGAAGATGCGCAGCCTATGGTTTGAAACCGCAGTTGTGTAGATTACTCACAAACACAGTGCAAGGGAATTAACCCAACACAGTATGGCGTCATTGTTTGGTCTTCTGTTAGGGTTCATTGAAAATGCACCAAGAGAAATGAGGAATGCGGCACTTCCCCGTTCGGACGCCCTTCTCCTATTACAGATAGTTTAAATACGTTGAAGTCAGTTGCCTGTCCTTTACAGGTTGTTGCAGAACTAACTCTAGCATTTTTTGGTTGTTGTGGTTTCTCTAGGCAAATTTTAAGTTCAGTAGTTTGCGATTACTTGCTGAATGGTCAGCCCTGTATATCATTATTTAAACGAATATAACAAACCTTCAACGTCAAATCGCCTGCAGCTGTGATCGAACCCCGAAATCTGGTATTACGAAGCGCGTTCGCAACACCTAAGCCGCAGATGCCGACTTAAGATGGCTGCATAGTTCTCAGTCAGTAAATACCAATAAAAAGATGAATTAGTTGTTTTTTGTTTCAATGGATATACTGTATTTGAAACCAAACAAATAAAACCGCCGTTTCCTGATCTCGTATTCCGATTTCTATTTCCAGTGCCAATCTTTGGAAGAGCTGTACCTGAAAATCAAAGCAAAGTCCGATATTCTCCATTCCATACTTGTCAAATATAGGAAAAGGGCGTATCAGTGGACCACACATGCAGGAACCTTTAACGACACAACTATTGATGGATAGAGTACTAAACAAACAAATGTATGTTACGACTTAACTAAGCTGTCAACACTAAAGACTGGTTTGAAAACAGGCGTCAATCGCTGAATAAAGTTCTAAACACATAGTCGCCAAGAAAGCATGCTACCTAAATAGAAAGATTTGAAAACTCATGCAGTGTTTGACAAATTTATAATCATTGGATTCTGGGTAACGTCACTGGAGTTCGTAACTTTGCAAGCATAAAGCTGGTAGTTCTTTTACAGATTAGACGAGTCTGAATTTATTTTCTGATCATTTTAAACAGATGAAGAAGACAGATAACATGTTCATAGATGCAAGTTACAGAAATGTAGACAATACCACATGCAGATGTAAGAGTTAAACTACAGATTAGATTGTGCTGGGATGTGGACCCTATAAATGATTATATTTTGTCACGTGAGTTCAAGGGGAAAAGTTCTGTTACAGCATTGTCTGTAAAGTGTAAAATTTTAAATTAAAAAAACAAACAGTTGTAATAAAGGGTTAAAATCAAGGATGAAAGAAGTAAATTTATAGACTAAAGAATTCACATTTATACACAGTTTAATACAATCACTGATATTTTTGACACCATAGAGTGCAGTTATTGACTACTAATACATTGTAGAAAAAATAATTTACAGTTTATACATCGTAGAATACAGGAATTTACAATTTATGTATGGCAGGATACATGAATTGACAGTTTATATATGGTAGAGTACAAAACTAGTACTGTGTATGTAGTAGAATACTAGAATTGACAGTTTAAATGACAGAATAGAAGAATTGACAGTTTTTTAACGGCAGAGTTAAGGAATTGATAATTTATTTTATTGCAGAGTGAAGGAATTGACAGTTGATTTTATGACAGAGTGAAGGAATTGACAGTTTATTTGTGGCAGAGTAGAGGAATTGACAGTTTATTTGTGGCAGAGTAAAGGAATTGACAGTTTTTTTTGTGACAGTGTTGAGGAATTGACAGTTTATTTAATTTGAACAAAGAAGACACAAACAATGGGCTGCACAATTTATTGCCTGGCATATTTCGCTGTATTTCGCCAGGTGCATACTACAGTAACAACTGATTAATATGAAGCAAATAGGTAATCCTAGAAACTGAAACACAAATTCGAGTACATTCTAAACTGTCTGTTTCACCAATGTAGCCGTAAGGTAACGACCATTTATTTCTGCCTACAGAGTTCTGGTTTAAACCGACTGATCGCGGAAGCTTCCGCATATCGGAGTAATCTACGGTTGGCCGAATTGTAAATATTTCGAAATGCATCATCCCTGTTAATGATGTGCCCGGAATTTAGAATTTGGCAAGTAATTGCTGATGATTGATTTTGTCGACCAGTCACCTGATTCGTTGTTGTTGAGGTGTTAGTATTCTGCATTGCTTTTGCCACCCATAGTGGAATATGTTCAGTAACCCGTTTCTCCAGTCGTCGATCAGTTATGCTCACATATGCAGCGTTAGAGGTGCATTTAAATTGGTAAATACAATTAGATCTGGCGTACGTCGACACTGGTTCTTTTACTAGTAGCTTAAGATTTTAAATCATGGTGGTTTTAAATCTCCTAACGGGTATGGCTGCGTAAAAGGTTTGACCGACTGTTGTTTTGAGTCGGTCGTATACACGTTGCATGACATCATCTCCCCGAAACGTTAGATGTAAATAATTTTTTTTTTTTTTATGGCACCGACATTTCTAAGGTAATCGGTTTAGGCTGCTGGCAATGTTCAAACCATTTACGCAGCCATGTCTGTTATGAGATTTGATAATTTCTACACCGTAGAGTTCCAGGATTGACAGTTGTATGCACCGTGCAGTATGTACTGTTTACAATCATAAGTGTTTTAAATAAGGAAAGTGACCGTTTAGACACCTCAGATTTAAAAAAAAAAAAAATTCTGTTTAGACGACGTAGCCTTTAACAATTCACGCTTTATGAACTGTTGAACATAAAAAATGCACATGACACCAATGAAGATTCAGGCGAATTTACCATCTTGGTGTATACAAGAAGTAAGATAGTAAATTAATGTGTAAATGAAATGACAGGTTGGAAAAGAGGGGACTGAAATAAAAGGTGTTCAAAGCTGAGAGCAGCTGAAGCCACAGTTTTCAAGGTAAAGCAGTTACAGTTTGATAGCCTGTTAACTAAGTGGTGCAAAACGACAGCATTGAAACTAATCAAGTACATAACAAACTATTCTGTGTTAGTACAATCGTGTTTCCTTTAATGCTATCTTAGAGACAGCTAAACGTATTTAACCTATTAGAATGTCTCATCATGTGAAAAATACATCATTCATTCAAAGCATTTTGCAAGTATCATTATCGAGTGAGTGCATTGCTCTTGCTTTGTTAACTCTTAGACTTTGCTCTGGAAATCCAAGGTTTTTCATGATCATGCCTCGAGAAAATTTAAACACACCATCAGCAATCAATTATTCAGTTGTTTTTCAGAATCTTCTTCTTCTTCTTCTTCTTTTGTCATCTCACTGATATCAGACTGCAGCCTAGAGTCGTGGTTTCTGTACTTGTCTTGCTCTTCTCGGATGGCTTGGATGATTGATTAGCAATCATCTTTTTGCAAGTTTTTGGCTGCACAATTCATCCATTTCTTTCTTGGTCTTTCCATCGCCTTCCTCCTAGATATGCTGCTGTAAAAAGTATAATATGCAGTTTGGTCTGGCTACATTCTCACCAGGTGGCCGAACCATTTTATTCTTTCTCTGTAAATATAATTCAGCCTGGTCTTACTCCAGCTTTCTCTCTAATGCTGGTATTTGTAATCCTGTCCCATTTTGCGTTGCTAGTGATCTTACGTTGACACTTCATTTCACAGGTAGTTTTTTTCTGTTCTGGTGCCATATTCTTTTTATCAGAATGCAACACACTAAGGACTATAAAAAGTAAAATGTTAATTTACTATTATTTTTCTTTAAATTGATGGAACATTAAATTATGTTAAATCTTCAAAGTAGTTATTAACTCCTTGAGATTTCTCGACGGCATATCATGCTTATATTCCCAAAAACCATTCCTGAGGATATATATCTGCGACGTCCTAAGAGTTAACAAATATGAGTCTACTAAAAAATGTATACACCCTTTACTAAATTGACCGATTGATGTTCAACACACCAGAACATACCGAGCGTCAGACACCCAGTGACACAAGGTGTCACCATTTAGATGAGGATCACCCAGGGACAGGTCCCAGAAACCCCGGTGAACCCATAGTTTGGGTTATATTGGGGTCCCCGACGACAGCTGCAGTGGGGCTTTAAAGTAACGAAATATTGCGTCCCATATTGGGACGGCTTTTTATTGGATACTTTACTAGATGCTGTTATTGTTTTCGAAGTTCTTCTTTTCCTTCTTCTTCAGCATTCCGAACCCTTGAGGTTCATTGATGCAGATATCACCCGCCACCATTCATCTTTCTGGCTGGCCCACTCTTTCTAGTTGGTGACACCAAGTGTTTGTAGGTCTGTCTGGATATTTTCTCTCCATAGTCTTCTTGATCTGCCTAGTGGTCTACGACCATTCATCTTCCTGTTGTATACAGTTTTTACTTCTCTGTCATCTGACATTCTTTCAATATGCTCCAACCATTTACGTCTATTAGCTTTCATGATGCCAGTGATCAGTTGCGATTTAAACAGATTATGAATTTCGTTGTTGCTCCTCACTCTCCGTTCACCGCTGTTTGCATCTTTGATGGGTCTAAAGATTCATCCTAAGATTCCGTTTTCAAAAACCTGTAATAAGGCCTTATCCCTTTAAGCTGTGGTCCAATGTTCAGAACCCTATTGTAGAAAGGTGTTCTCTCAAAACATTTAATTTAAACTATAAATCACAAACCTTTCATGTGATTATTATAAATGAAGTGTTAATTACTCTTAACCTCTGATTCTACGTGAGTTAAATTTCCATTGGCCAATAGTTACTACAATGTTTCATTTAACAGTCACATTGGCGGGCTAGATAATTGTGCATTTATTTATTTATTGCGACAGTAGTAAAAGTAAACTATTTTCATTTGAATTTGTTTCCCTGTTACTTTCGTTGAAAAGGTATTTAAAAAAAATTTCGCTATTATCTTCCTGGTAAGCATTTATATATATATTATATATATATATATATATATATATATATATATATATATATATATATATATATATATATATGTCTCAGACAGTTTGTCTGTCTCAAAAACTGTTAAATACCGGTGTTACTGTTACAGAGGATGCCACGGGTGCATTGATTAAAG